CGCTTTTCTAACTCTACAATGGCAGAAACAAATGGATTGCGAGGATTCTGACATACAGTTTCATAGGGTGAAACTGAAAAAGTAAAACATTAACCAGTCAAAATTTAGGCTTTGTTTACCTTCCATGTAAAGTGCACATTTTTCACATGGAAAATGAAGAACAGAGAGTATTTAAAACGTTAAATCAATATAATCAACTCTCCTTATCGCTCACCTGTGATTTTCTGGAGTGAGATCTGAAATCCCACTCCATATTCAGGACCGTCCCATCACAAAACACAGCACACACTTTCTTATCAGAATATGCAAAGAATCTTCCTACATTAGGAACAAATTTTTCAGCCAGAGGGAGTGGTAACATTTCTCTTCCACCTGTCTCAGGAGACTATTACAAAACAAATTAAATCAAATAGGACACATTTTTAGTAGTAAAATCTATTTTATGCTAATATTTGATTACTATATTCATACCTACCAACTTCCAGCAGCAAACATTATAATTATGTGTTAAGGAAAGCATATTCTCAAGATCATGTTGAAGAACTCTATTTAGAAAAATAAAAAAAAGATTAAGTTGCCTTTAAAACATTTAGATGTATTACTCAGATTATACTGTTTATAATCTGAGATTTCAGATTAAATTTCAGATTAAGTGGCAAGCCTTTAAAACATTTAAATGTATTACTCAGATTATACTGTTGTTAATTATTATCAGCCTGATTTTAATGATGTTCTGAAGTTCTAAATCAACACAGGATACACAGAACTAATGTTACTTTGAAAAAAATATTTATTCTTATACGGCTTTTAAATCTCTACCCTATTTATTTTCTGCTTTTCATATTTTTTTTCTATTTTTCTTCTTGACTATATTTTTAAACATCTAATAAAATAAAAATGTTTGGAAAAAATTATTACCACCAACTTATGTTCAGCGCCTTACACCTGGAACGTGAAGGGAGACCAGAGTCTGATGAGACTGTTTGACGATTTGCAGTAGACTGGCAAAGTTTTTAACTTCCCAATGTTCTTCCTCAGAATTAAGATACAGATTCGTTTTATATGACACCCATATATGTCATACTGGTCTGTTATGGATGAAAGTAGGTAATTGGTTCTATTCTCAAATAGTATTCTGCATCCGGGTCTACCTCAAATCATTTTTTGGGGAGCTGTTTCTTCCTAGGCCAAATCAATTATGGAACTAGGTCTAGTCATAATTTGACAGTATATTATGCCACCACTTAATCCTCTTTGGTGATTAAGTGATCTCTGACCCATTTCTAAGCCCAAGGCAATATGCTGATTTTGACACTTAAAATTCTGCATAAGCTGGAACCAGGTAGATCTACTCAAAGGTTGAGATCTTCATCTGTAATCCTTGTCTGAGTGTGAGGTAGATTACAAGAAAAATGCTTTTCAGTAGTGGCCCATTCTTGTACTTCTCTAATGCTTCTTTTGCAAAGACCCCATCATATTGGAGTTTAACTATGTGAATTTTTGTGCCTCTACTTCCTGTTTTGAATTAATTTAGGTTTGTGGATTTTGGTGTTTTGAAGAGTTTTGACCTACTGTTGCCCTTTTGTCATTGTTACTAAAAGTGACTAAATTTTATTGCAAATTACCTAGAAAACTGAGCTCAAGGGGCATAATGTAGATAAATGAACAAGTAGCTAAAAGAAAACAAAGTATTTCACCTCACTGATTGTGTTATAATTGTCCACACAGAGTAGAGACTCCCTGGGACATCAGGTGGTAGACTGCTTACAGAATACATAGTTTCTTCTATCTAAAAAGCGAACGAAAAAGAAAAGATAGCTGTTTACAAAAGTGCTACGCAACAGAGCAAGTGTAACAGATCGTTAAACTACTGGACTCCAAGTCAAGAGTTGCTCATTATAGAGTTTAAAGCAAATTGTTCTTTTGGTGTTAAATTGCTCTAATCTCTTATTTTTTGTGGTGTGCGCAATCAAAATGCCACAAATGATTGTTGGTCTGCTGTTTTCTGATGCAGCTCTGACAAAAATAAAATCTAAAAGTGCAAGACTGCCCAAGACTGTTGATAGCTGTAGGAACTTCAGCGTGAAGATAAAGGACCTCAGTTCTAAGAGCAAAATCCAGGGATTAATCTGGAAGTAGGATTATCTGCCCAGAAAAGAAGAAAAGGTAAGTAGCGATAGTGGGGAACATCCTGGGAAGAGGGGAGGCTGGATAACATAATGAAGAACTATATCACCAGTTTGCCTTCTTGGAGAAGGTGTTTGGCCACTGGTTATGAAGAAAAGGCTCTTTTAAGATAGAGTTAGAGGTCATCATGTTAGCAGCAGTCAAGAGACCTCGCTTTTTGTTATCTTCTGTTTCATGAAAGGCAAACCAAACATCTAAACCATGATTGAGGTCTAGATGTCAAACATTTCACATCTGGTGGATATAACTGTAAGCTCCCTAGATACAAAGAATTGGGTATATATGAATAAATAAATAAATCAGTAGATGCACTAATAGTCTGTGCATTCTCCTCTTTCCTTTGCCATCTCCAAAAGGGCAAGAAAACTATACCGTATGCATATATACACACACACTATATTTTATTTATTTATTTATTTATTTATTTATTTTTGGAATTTAGGTGCCACCCATCTCGAGAGGAAGTGACTCTGGGAGATTCACAATAAAACAACAAATAAATATTAATTAAAATACAATAAAACAGTATAAAAATACAATAAAACTGAACACATACACAAGTAATCGTATCTTCCAAGATGCTGGTGATTGATAAGATGTTAACATACAGGAGCATCTTCAAGATGTTAGCCACCCCCAGGGTTGGTTGCCCCTTTTCTCGCCTCATGCCAGTTGGCAGAGCCAGGTCTTAACTGCTTTCCGGAAGGACAAGGGAGTTGGGGCCTGCCTCACTTCTGGGGGAAGGGTATTTCAAAGGGTGGGGGCCATGGCAGAGAAGGCTCTCTTTCTGGACCCCACCAGATGACATTCTTTCATTGACAGGGTCCACAGCATACCCTCTCTGCTTAACTGGGTGGGATGGGTGGATATAACAGGAGTGAGATGGTCCCTCAGGTAACCCGGTCCCATGACATGCAGGGCTTTAAAGGGGATAACCAACACCTTGAATTGGACCTGGAAGCAAACTGGGACCCAATGCAGCTCACGCAGC